TATATTTTATTTCCATATATATTTATATTATATATATATATATATATACATAAAATTTTTTAATGTAAAGTTAAGTTAAAAAAATGGTTGCCTAATCATGTTATCTAGATATGATTCGAAAATAAATTTGTAAAGAAAAGAATTACATTAGCAATAGTTTTCTTAAACAACTAGATTATTCCATAATTTCATCTTTATTCCATAAGTCTTCCATCATTATACTTCTTCTTCTGGTATCCTTATCTCCCACTGCAGCATAGGGCCTCATCAATATACTTACTATGCAATAATTAGACATCACATTAGCAATTGGAAAAAACTACCCAACACATATATGCAATTATTTATAACCAGCAATAATAATAATAACAAATAATTAATTTGTCAACATTATATATTATTTGGATAATATGATGGTCACTAATAGAAAAGCGTTCAGAAAACAATATGAAAAATACCTAGGCTAAGCAAGAGTAAATATCATTCGGGTTCAATTTACTGCAAAACTAGATCACATGTAATGCTATCATATGAATGTAAACTATAAATTAAACAGAACTATGAACGTTCAAGTTATAGAATGACCTGCAGTGAAGTATATTAGAAAAGCTTTTATTTTCTAAATTTTTATTTTCTGTCTATTAACAACTCCGCCAGTCTGGTGCAACGTTTTATTCGATTCTATTCAGCACACAACTAGACCGTTTGAACACAATAATCAATGCAAACCGTCTAAAATTGGCCAACAGAAAAATAGTTATTTTTCCATTAAGACAAGGCCAGGCTGCACACATCTTTGATGACTCGGCACAAATTAACGGATCTAGGTTGTGAAGTTTTGATATATACACCATATAGCCAGGACTTTATTGGACAACCAATTATTTCAATCGCTGCAAAACTCTTTATGGTAGAAAATTGAATGGTCGGAGTTGCTAGAATGATGTTAGATAAACAATACTTTTGCTACTACTTTTTTAAATTAATTTATTTGAATTAATTTAATTAAAAATTAATTAATTTATTTGAATTAATTTAATTAAAAATTATATTAATTTAATTAAAAATTAGATTAATTTAAAAATTTAATTAATTTAATTTTAAATTAAATTAATTCATTTTAAATTAAATTAATATCAATTGCTAAATATTCTTTAATAAAATAAGAACAAATATTTTACGTAAATAATTTTTATTGATATTATGACGTTACCTTTGGCGATTTTTAAATAAATTTTAATTAAAATTAAATATTAATTATTATATTATTTAAATAGATTAAGTATATATATGGTATTAAATAACTAGAATATGCTTAGAAATTTACACACGCATATTCATAATTACTTGCTTAATTTTAGTTTGATATCTCAGTAATAATGCTTTTGCACAAAGTTTTACACAGTCAAAATATATTAAATATTTATTTTTATATTACTTATTGTGGTTTTATATAATAAATACATACATTAGATTTTATTTTAAAATATTAGTACTAAATTTACACTAATTTTTATTTTAAAATGAAGTATTTTCTATGTGAGATTGTTATTTCTCTATTTTATACGATTATTTTACTTTCATCTTCTATTCCAGTATTAATGATTAATTATATCAAAATAAAAAATAGTGAAAATAAAATTAAATTGATTAATAAAATCAGAAAGTTTCATTTTATTATTATTATGCATATATTAAAATGGCATGAATAACTGAATTATAGTTTAGTTACTTACTAAATTGAAAAATAAATTTCGATTCTTATTTTCTATTTCAAATACATCTTTATGGGTTTTATATGGGTTTAGAAATATTTATGAATTTATTTTATTTAATTTTTAATTCTTTTATTTCATTTTTTTTTTTGTTTGTTTTTAATTATCAATAATTTTTGCTTTTATTTAATTAAAATGGAACATATATTTATTTAATTTTATCTTAGAGTAAATTCTTTATACTAATATATATAATATATTATATATATATATATATAAAATTTATATTTACAAAATGTTAAAAACTTAAACTATTTACATTATTTTAATCTTTAGGAAATAAAATATACAAGTACTATTTTGTATGTGAAACTATTTTATTTATTTATTTATTTATATGAATTAATATTCATGTTTGCAAATAGTATGAATTTATTTATTCTAATGTATGTAGAGTAAATTTCATACAAATATTTCTATTTATCCCAATGATTAAAGAATGGATTAGTATCTGAATATTTCAGTATTTATATTTCTGCATTTTAGTTGTTTATTTACTTTCAAAGTAATGAATAAATAAATTTAACAAAAAAATATTTAACAATGTAATACATATGTTCTGCTTAACAAAAGGACACGAATTAATTTAATTGATTTAAATAAATTAAATAATATATGAAACTTTAGTTAATCAAATTGCTTTATTAAACTGTATTTAGCAATGACAAGATCGAAATTGAAGAATGAATGTTAGAGTATAGTTTGATTTATTTGAACTAAATTGATAAAGATTTAGTTTTATTCTTAATCAAAGCATGATTAAATCTTGATAATCAATCTTTTGGTAACATGGAAAACCATATCTAACTATATACTTCAAATACTCTTTGTTGTAAGATCATTTCTAGCAACCCTTACCAACTACGTATATCGTATACGTATATCACATTAAATACAAATCGGATTTCTTGTCGATTAATATAGACTCGATTTTATTTTCAAAATAATTATTGTTAAAAACTGGACTACTGAAAGTTCCATTAAAGAAGGTTACTGCCTTGCTGTGAAATTACCAAATTAGATGGATTTTACTGGGTTGCTGTTTTCACTAACAATGGTGTTTCACTATCTGGTGGTCAATAAGCTGTTTCAGTTAAAACTAAATCCCGAAGAAAGACTTAAATACAATTTATGAAATCGTTTTCCATGAACGGGCGCTGGTTTGAATAGAATTCATATGGAACATACTTTGTTCACAGCATAAAATCATGTAATCATTTTCCGAATTTAAATTTAACTTTGAGCTTACAGCTGGATTTTATGAAATCTAACGAATTAGACCATATCTTTTAGAGTTGCATCTAAATCTCTTTTAAAGCGATTAAACAATGCCTTTACCAATAAAAGAACATTGATTTAGTATTGAAAACATTGTTTGAACTCTAAGTGCGATATAATCACTCGATTAAACCATTAATAAATTTCAGTAGATGATAAATGAATCAAATAATACTCTTAATAATTACCCCAAGTCATTTTTTGTGAAAAAACTTATTTACAAATTTTCTCAATAACTACTTTCATGTAAAGACTTCCATCTATTCTCTTGATTCCAACAAAGGCCTAAAGTATCTTCAACGTGCTGAAGAGAATATGTAAAGCGATGGCCCGCTGCACATCACTATTCTGAAATTTAAATTCATGGCAATCTTATAAGTCATATCGACTTAGTTTGTGTTCCAGTGTTCTTAGTCAACTCCCTTTTTAACTTCAAAGTTATTACTCTAATTATTTGTATGGTTTTTCTATAAATCAAAGCAATACTTATTTCAAAAAATGAATTTTATTAAATTTTGAAAATTTGAAAAAATAGAAATTTAAATGAAACCAGCCTGATTGGCTGGACACCCGCTATCAGAATAGATGACAAAGGATAACCCAAAGTCGAAGAGTCCTACTGTACCAAATTTTACTTTTAACTAACTTTTAACAAAGCCCTAAATCTGGAGCTTTGTGAATTAAATCTGGAGAATAAAATCCATATGAAATAACTTTCTTTTGTGCGGTGTTAAAGCTGCACAATCACAAAGAATATGCATATCTTTTTCTTCATCTTCGAGGCATAATCTGCATTTCGAATTAGCAGATTTCGAAGTTTATATAGGTAATATGTCATAATGAATCCCGTTAGCAACCTTAAATTAACTTTTGAGAATTTAAGAATGTTTTGTAGGAGTACGGTTTTATCCGTGCTTTGTCTAACTCCTGGGAAGTCTTCTCAGTACACCAACCGCAATCGAACACATACAAAAAAAGTCACTAAAACTGATAAACGAAGAAAATGTTAAGAGTTTGGATTATAGAAAATTCTGGAACATCCCTTATGTCTAGGTCTTACGTTGTCAGAAATATGTTTAAAACACTAGGGGGTACATAATTAAAAAAGTTGAGAGGCACTCCTTATATACGTACGAGACGTCAATATTTTGCATGATGTGTACTAAACATCTGATTCTGCTGTATCTGGTTTTGCTAGACACTAATAGACATTAGCTAGATTAACTAATCTACACCAACTTATGCAGTGTTACGTTTTCGATGTGGATTGATTATATGATTCGTTAACTTGAATATGATATAGCTAAAAGTGCACTAGACAAAAATCCTTGAGCCAATAGACGGGGAAGAAAACCTAGAAACACTTGGTAAAGACAATCACCTCAAAAAGTACAAAATCCGTTAATTAAAAAATGAGCTATAAATTAATTAAGTTAAAAAAAATTTTTGTTCAGGTGATATATTTTTACTAGCTAAATAATAAATGCAAAAAATGCAACTGTGTGAAATAAAAAAGGAGAGATGGTACAGGTAAAAAAGAGACGATCTGACATCGGAGTAAATATGTCAAAAATGGCGTTATTTATAGTGTTGATTATGATTTTATTTTATTAATTGTATGGGATAACTTTTTCATACCATCATTTTTTACATACAAAAATACACTCACAGCACTGAAAATGAGAACAAAAAAATAATATAGGGATCGCCTCGTATACATTCAATTAAGAAAAGTAAAATGCTTATATTACATTGTTCAATACTATAAATAAATAATAAATTTAATATTTGAGTAATTTCAAAATAAATGATAATATATAGAAAAGTATTACATGATAATATATCTATAATTATTTTATAATTCGACATCACACAATATGAAACTCATAATTTTTTAATTGCAACAAAATTGGCGCTCGTTGTAAAATGCTTTTAAATTTACTTAGTTTATTTATTGAAATTCTTTACTGAACTCACTTGATTTGCTCTAAATGGTAAACATTTACACAAATATATCTTATATCCTTTCTAGCTTATTGACACATTGTGCCTTAGTATACAAAACTTTATGTAATTAGTACTTAAAACTGCTCAAGATTATTTTTATATGTCTTTTTTTTTTTTTTTTGTTAATTATTTAAGATAATTCGCCTTACAATTCATTATCTTTGTCGTTATTTTATTGTTTTTTTATTGCCAAGTTGCGTTGATAATGGAATTTAAATTTAACGAGTTAAGCATTTAGACAATTTACTCGTTAATGGAATAAAATTCAACTTCATTTAAAAAAACTTACTAAATTTAAATTCGCATTTGTTGTATCTCAAAATGTGCAATTTACTTACAGATTCTTTTAAAACATATCTAAGGGAGGAGTATGGAGGGTTTTGTTTTGTGCTTAATTATCCTTGTTGTACCAAAGTCCGTAACAGTTCGGTAATCAAGTTTTTTCCCATTTCTTTTGACTTAATTGTGTTGCAGGTGAAATTGCAGTAGCTGCTGTTGTTGCTGCTCCTGGTATTGCTGCTTCTGCTTTTGCTGCTGCTTCTGCTACTGCTCCAGCCCCTGCTCCAATTATAGTTGCTTTGACGGTTTTTGTAGGTTTCAGAATTTCTCTAGCATCTGCTGGCCAAATAACGTATTGTTTCTGTTCCGCTTTTGCTGCATTTGTAACTGCAGTTGAATAAATGCAAATTGTGGCAATTTCCATTTTTAACTTCTCCAGCATTTTGGTTTTGCCAAACTGAAAATAGAATTTGGATATCCAAAAAAGTAGTAGCAATGCTACCAAATTCACTGTTTGTAGCTGCAGTCGCCGCTTGTTGTCTGCAATTATCAAGTTACCGCTTACACCGGATGTTATGGCTGATGCGGAATATTCACCTTAAAACCATAGAAAAGAATTAGGAGAAAGAACAAAAAAAAAAGTAGATTTAGTAAGGTATTTTATTGAATTTTAAAGTAAAGTACAAACTTGATTTTCTTAAATTTAATCAAAGAAATTTAAAACAAAAAAATATTTTTTTTAAGAATTTATAAAATCATTACACTTAAAAAATCAAATTAAATTAATTAGTTAAATTTAAACCAGTTATTACATAAATTAATTAAATAATGAGATAAAAATATAAAGTGAAAGCTATAAGGCTTTTAATTGTGTCCAATTACCAAAAGTTAGATGTGGTTTTTAATGTCTACATAACCTTCGTTGTTTCATACTCATATTTATTCCTGCGGCTATAGTTTACTCTATTTATTCCAAATAATAATTAAGAAAGTTTACATCTTTTCCTAATTTCAGGACTATTTAACAATATAACTGTATATAACTAATTATATATAAAATATGGTATTAGAAACCATGATAATACTTACCATAACGTAATTATATGTAAAAACTATGATTTGAATAATTTTTATTTACTTCAAAAATAAAACATTCAAAGTATTCCAGAATTATGATATTCGAGTTCGAATACTTGAGTAACATATTTTAAATGCTCGAAAAAAAATTGAACTGTTCAAATATATTCAATCCTGTTGGCAGGATCGCCATTATTGTGGGTTGGTCAAAGCACTCTTGAAGTCGAACCATTATTATGTACATAGCCGAATGAAATTATAAATGAAATACTATCGCTATCGAAAAATTATAATACTATTGCCACTGTATTCTTCAGACTGATAATCGTGATCCCTACCAAAGTGGTTGAAGAGATATTCATAACATAGGGCTTTTTAGAGATTCGACAACTGATTTATAATCAGTATGTTTTATAGTTTTAAAATAAATAAATATATGTCAGAACAGTATTTCAAATTGTGTAAATGTTTATTGAAAATCGTCGTACACTTGATTTACCATCGTGTACAGCAATTGAAACTTTGTCCATTCACTTTATGATTTATTTTACTTTTTAGTTTTTAAGTTTATAAGAATTCAAGTTATTTAAATAGGAAACATTCCCGTGGGTTCGGGAACGAAATCTTTTCTAACATTAATGCTTATTTATGATTAAATTGCTACGGCAACAAACAAAATTTTCGGATTTTTTTGATGTACTTCAATAGACTGGTAAAATCATTCTTTACTTCCATTTTTAATCACATATTTGTTGTCTAACTAAATGGACTCAATATACATTATCTTTGGTTTGAACAAAAAGACGTAATGTGCTACATAGCGTTCTACACATTCAGATTCTCGAAGAAAATATTCGAAAATAATATATAACATTAAATATAAAATAAAATATAAATATATAAAAAAATATTATATATAAAAATATATAATAAAATATTGTATATAAATATATATTAAACTATATATAAAATAATATATGTTATTCGAAAATAACGTAATAATACATATACAATTTATATAATATAATGTAGTATAAACTTCAATGTAGAGATCGTAACGAGAAAAAGTAATTGATGGTGGAATGGGGTTCAGTTACTTCAATAGTGACGAAAGTGTAATGAGCTGGAATTCAGTGCGCTATAACACATTGAATTAATATCCTTTATTTATTTCAACTTACATACATACATACATACAATTTATTTTTTTTGTTTTGATTTATTTTAATTTAAAAAAAAATTTTGATTCATGTGATCTTGAACGGTCCCGGTTTGGCATATAAATTGACTTCAACGATTGCGTAATCTGAAACATCTAAAGTGAGGGTATATATGAACTTGCAGTATTAATTAGACAAACTAGGGTCGTTGAACTATTGGGACGACAACATATGCAGAATTATTGCTAATATATATCCACAGTAACTTGAAAATTAAACTACCATTGCAAAAAATTAAATTGCATTTTTCGATCAAATTGAAAGAAACTCCTTATTAAGGATTACGTTTAATTATTTTATATTCATTTGAAATTTCATTATTTTTTTAATTAAATTTCATTGAAGTTTGTATTAAAAGTTTTATTTTTATATGCAATTTCCGTTTAATTAAAATCATCTCTTAACGATCAATCACTTTTTTAATAGTCTTCAGCTTATTCATTTATTGCCAACATATAATTCATTTATTATATCATATATTAAATCCAATTTGTAGAAGAGTTAAAAGTATTCAAAAATATTTTTTTATTATAATTAATTATAATAAAATTAATATTGAGCGTAATTAAAAAGTACAGAACGCTTTACGGGTTCTTATTGATCTCATTCAGCAATGCAAAATCATCAGTCATTTCAATGAATCTGTGCAACAATCACGTAATTAAAATTTTATTTCATAAATTCGTCATATAATTGTACATAAAATCAACAAAATTGTAAAATTTGCAATTAACATTCATTTTGATACATAACTACCATGTGTCCTTCCCTTTCCCGTTCCAAGCCCCGTCCGCAGCACCTAAGTATGAGAGGTTATTGTGGTAATTTGCTGCGGCAATTAAATTGCATGTTCTCACGTTTAATTCAATTATTTTTTAATTTTTAATGCGAAGTGTCCATCGCAGGCAAATTTTCTGCCATTCAATTATTTGCATAAATGTTTTTAAACGAGATATGCATTTCAATTACAATTGTCTGAGTGAACATATTTTTTTAATATTTTAATATAATTACGACGATTCATTGATTTTGTATTAAAGAAGAAAACAGCGGAAAAACAAAAGACGGGACGGAAAATTAAATGAAACTTCCAATTGGAGCTTTTCTTTTTAACTTCTGTTTATAACTAATAGCTATTATGTTATATTATACGAAATAGGTACCTAAAAATGTATATTCTTACGAAAGAGGCAATAAAACTTTGTAAAATAGGTTCTATACTATTTTTATTGACGCAACAGAGCATAAAAGACGTACTCTAAGTCCAGAAGGGGACACAATAGACCCGACGGCCGCAATGCCACATCACCTAACAATAATAATAATAATATATTATTATTAGTAATTATATTATTACAAGATTTTGAGAATTTATTTTCATTACCTAATTACAAAAATGCATTTATTAATAAAACAGATGACAGGTAACACATAGTAGAGTCATTCAACATTACAACCTCACATATAACCTTATAAAATATTTATTAATTACATTAATTCATAGGTCATAACGGTGATCCTAGCTATTTGTTTAGACTTGGTTGCTTTTTATGTTGAATTTTCTGCATAACTTTCACTTAATAACTTAAGCTCACTTAATTTTCATACTTATATCTGCAAAATTTTATGATTATTTTGAGGTGTACCAGGATAGTGACTAATATAATAAATGTTTCAATTTTTTTCGAATTCGCAGAACAATACTGAGACTAACTTCTTGTTACTACACGGTTCTGTCATGCAATTGCAGACACCAATATTCCTGTGAAGTTAGTTGCTTAACAATCGGAGCTGCGATTAGTGATTAGATAAAAATCGAACAATGTGGCTGCTAGTATTACAATCCAAATACACTAAAACCACATAAACACAATAACATTGATGTAACAGATTGATGTATTACTTTGGAACGGCATAAAGCAGTCACATCCTTTGTGATTGCTCAACTTTGCTTCAGGTCAGATGGAGGAATAGTGGAAGGATTTCATTTCGCTGTACGCAATTAGAAACTTCTCAATGAAAAACATTCCGGACTTTATTCGAAAGGCTGCAATTTTAAGCAACTTTACCTTAAAGTTTTCAAAATTGAACTGTGAAATTCTAAGAAGAAGAAAAGTATTTCATATAAATATCGTATTCAGGCTGTAATTGTGAATATGATTTGGATGCAGTAATATCTTGGATTTGGTAGCAGCATTGATTAATACGAATTTTACTTGCAATACTGAAATATTGAGCAATATCTACAATAGTGTTGTCTATATATAACACATATATTTAAAAATTTTTTAATATGCTCTATTGCATAGAGTGCATAACCATATTATTGTTGAGTGACTCTGATAATAGAGCTGAAAAAAGAAATGTGCCTGAGACATTTACTGGTAAACAAGTCGGTCGAAATATAGACTTCACATCTCTGTGGTACTATCAATTAGAACATTGATGAAAGTGTTACTGATTAATATAACTATTATATTGTAGAGAACTAATGCTTCTGCTTAATTCGACCAGTCATGAAATGTAATAGAAACAATATGGTTCCGATTAGCTTCTTAGTAAGAAAGTAATGTGTAGATACTAATTTCAGTATATACCTGTTTGTTTAGATCTTTACATGAACAGAAGAATCTTGAGGAGAATGGTGAGTGGTATTAAGAAAACAAATTATACAAGTATTTTAGAAAACAATTATTAGACCCATTCTAGTTTTCTTTTCGCTATAAGACGCGTTACATTCAACAAAAAAAATCAACCCTAAATAATAAATAGACCCGTTTACTGATTGTTACCATAAACTGGCTATGCCAATTTTTTTTTAGTTTTTCTATATAATTATAACCAATATGTACTTATTTTATTACTTCAAGAATGATTTGATGTATGACAATAAAATAGATATTGGAGATATCATTACATTACATAAACAATGAGTAATAGGCAAAATAGGAATGGGCGTGTTCGTTAGTCTTTACTAATATATTCCAAATAGTTTTTAAAGTTAATATGTATTATAATATTTTGGAACTATGGTCTTAATTTTATGTATACGATGTATTGAACAATTTAGCAACAATGTGTGACCATAATTTTAATGGGTGCATGAACTAATATTACTCTATAAAATTAAATTTCATAGAAAAAATGATTTTTTTTTTAAGAAAAATAAATGAAATATAATAAAAATCATTCGCAAATCCCGAAAATATTCATAAAAGCATCACTGTTTTACAATATATTTTGCAGTTCTTCAAAAACAATAAACAAAATAAAAAGGAAAAATAGATAAATGTGTTTCAAGTTGACAGCAGTAATAAATAAAATAAAGAGGTTGTTTCATGCCAGGGGGGTACATGTATTCGTAGATAACTGCCACTCCAACCACCTATGTACCGCCACTTACGGCAGCAAACGTTTAATATAGAGCATAAATATTTGTGTGTCCACAGATAAGCCCACAATTTAAGTGTGCCTGACACTAAAGTTAAAAATACATAAGTGAAATAGTAAAACGAATTGAAAGGATATAAAAAGAAACACCAAAAAAAAGGAAAAAACAAAAAAAGACAAAAATAAGTATTCATTTTAATTCAATTAAAATTTACCATTGAGCACATGTAGAGCAATCGTTCTGGGAGCACTGTTCGAGGGACTGCAGGTATAATTGCCAGAATCTTGCTTCTCTACTGATGGTATTATCAATGATGCAATCTGAAATTGAAATTTAAAGGTGAACACAATAGTTTCGCAATAAAATAGAATAATACAGAATGAAATGCAATCGCATTGTGTCAGAAGATAAAATGTTTTACATATAAATTCGTGTGTAACCAAGAGCTACGTTGCACACGGAAATTAAATTAAATTTATTGACACTTTCTAAATAACTGTAAGTCCTTGCGGAATAAAATATTACCACTTTTTGTATATATATTAGGTAAATCATTTAATATTGCACAAGCAAGAGCTAGGATATAAGAAATAGTAACAGATTTATCATTTTCTTGAGCTGGGTACGCTATTTGTGAAAATATCTCATTTCCATTACAGAAAATGTTTTATGACTCTTTATCGTATGAATAGAATGACTTAAATTCAAAATATCACAAAAACATAAGCACACTATTACTACTATTAAATAAAACTTTAAAAAGAAATATCTGAAAGGTTGAATTTCTATAACATCTATAACATTTTGAAAGAAGACTTATCATTTAAAACAACTTACAATTTTTTAATTACTTTTTAAAAAAACTATTAATCGATAGTTCTATAGTTTACACATATAGTTTTATAATCATCTTCAGAGTGGAATGAAGAATATAATGGGTATAACATACATCAAATACATTAGATTCCTAAAAAAAGGAAATACTTGAAAACACTTTATATATATTATATATATATTATATTATATCAAATTGCCTAATATAACATATAGGTATATAATAGATTAATATCCCGATTCACGTCACCCCGATTGGCGTTGATTGGAATAGCATCGCCAAAAATATATAAATTTTGGCTTAAAATTGCGTCGGTGGTATTTTAATTTGAATCGTTTTTTAACACATACGTACGGAGGGGATTCCCATTTCATATTTTGTACGTCACATTTTTTAAAGAGTGACTTACATGTTTCAAGTTTTTAGTTTAAAAGTGTCAGTTTACATTTGTGTGGTGAAGTGGAAAGGTAGATTTCTGCTTATGAAGTACAAAAATAAATCAAATACAAAAAAAATTTTCTTGGAACAAGATTAAGACATTTTAAAACGTTTTAAACTGCTGACATTGGGAGAATTCTAGGTTTAACTCATTGATAAATGTACAACATTTTTTCGCCACATTTTTTCGCTACATTTTTTCGCTACATGGAGCATCAAAATTGACTGTACATAATCATAGTTCTACAGTCTAAGTTTAGCTATATAATCACAGTAATTCTATGCCTGTCACAGTTCGCAGATTTCTAATAATGCTAACTTCAATATTACATTAAAAGTATTTACATCATACAGTTGGGCTAAAACGAATAAAATGGGAGAGATATCATACCAAAGCCTGGTTCAAGTTTAAAGTCCACCAAACATTTAGAGAGTTTCGGAAATATAAATCTTTATATTACCATAGAGTTCACTTTTATGAAATAATTTTACAGTCATTTTAAACTTCTTTATATAAAGTTGTTAGAAACATATTATTACTGTACACATTATTATTGTATAATTACTAAAATATCTTTTAAAATAAAATCAGGCAAAAAAATAAAGTTAGAATAATGTCTTAATAAAGAACCGTGTATATCTAACACGGCAATTATAAAAAAAAGAGGTAAGGTTAATCTAGCTGGCCGTAAGCAACGCTTACACCAATTAGATCTATAATACATTGTACTTTTAGGGCCGTCCCAATTTAAAACAAAAACAAGACCACAGCTGATAGTCTAAAGGATATTCAATTTAATGCACAAAATGTTATTTTTTATCAATTGAAGTTTTTAAGCTGCCGATAGCTGACTTACAGCTTCTTTGGATATTACCGAATATGCTACTTGTTGTTTTCTCATATAATATTAAAATTTTAACTAAGATTCAATTTCATCCGAGAAATAACAGTAGCAAACAAAGCAGAATATATCATTGTATGATCATTGTAATGATTAAACATAATAATAAATGTTTCGTCTAAAGATATTTTTTAATATGAAACATTTAAGTTATTGTACTTTAGTAGAAAAAAAATATCACCAAGTAGTGATATCTTTCTTTTATATAAAAGTTATGTGACTGATAGATTTGTCTATGTAAAATACTGGCAGAGGAGATATCATTATACAAAAAATAAAACATTGCAGTGGACTACCTCTGTACTTGTTATATCCAATCGATATGTAAGTATATGAGAGTAGTGACTGTATAGGTTTAATATTTGCTAATGATAAAATTTTATTATGCATACTGAAAAAAATCTGAATCTAAATTCTAAAGTGAACTGATATAGACAAACATATAGTCTGATATAAGCAGATATGATATAAGCATATATTAACTAAAATGTAAAATTTACCATAACTATGAAGCTTGGAGATAAAAATGAAATTGAAAGACTTCATATTTAATGAGAATAAAAATTAATTATGCCAAAACTGGTAACTACTTAATGTCAATGAAAAATACAGAAATTTGAACTATTAAATTATTTGCTTTGTGTTTTAATTCATCATCTTTCCATTTAATTGCAAAGTAAACATAATTGAAAATGGATATCAATTAGATTGAATATGATGTCCTTTTAACCTAAACCTACTTAATTAACACACCTTTACTTCACATGAATTAATTAAATGCAAATCTGCACAAAGACCTAAAATTTTGTGTTTCAGATACCAAATCAACGCTCTCTTAAATGTGAATTGCATTTATTTTCATTACAATAATTTTCAGAATATGTAAGCAACATATCTTATGGACGCGTATATCATATATCGCATATCCTACAACTCATCAAACGTCTTTTGACATATTCATTTGTCGCATGCAACTAACTCATCTAGCAGCGAAATCCTTCAGTGCATATTGCAAATAAGTAGCATTAAATCGAGCTTATAATCTCCGCCTGCATTTATTACACTTACTGTGATGTGCCTTATTTCTGTCCAAACGAACGCTGCTGTTGTCGTTTCTGTTGTTGTACTTGTTGTCGGTTCAGTGGTGGTGGCTATTGTTGTTGTAGTCGTTGTAGATGTTGCTGTTGCTGTTGCTGGTGTAACAGATGTTGATTCTGTGGATATTGCTGCTGCTGTTGATATAAGTGAATCTGTCGAATTACTATCGTTGACGGATGTTGGCATAGTCGAAGATGAATAAATTATTTCCGTGGCTGTTGACGTTTCAGCTTCATCAATTGATGTTGTTGCTGTAGTTGTTGCTGCTGTTGCTGATGTTGACGTTGATGTCGTTGTGGTTGTTGTTGTAGTCGGATCCGGTGGCAATTCAATGCGTTCTACTTCCGTACGCCAACCCTTGCGATTATGCAAATAAATTTGTTTCTGATTAAAGAACCAATTTGTAAATAATGGTGGTTCCAACGCTTCAGAAATTATGCAAAGCAATTTCACTTCACTGCCAGCTTTAACATGCCGAGTTGATTCTCCAATCAATTCGGTTTTTGGTTCTAACAAAAATAAATATAAAATTTTGTATATATTGTAACATTCTTTACATCATATGTTATACTATATATAAATATGTATTATACATATAGAAGGAATTTAATTGACTAATATTTTAATCATAAGGACTACGACAATATAAGGACTTCTTAAATATAAACAAATATTATGTACACAAAAAAACGTTTTTAAAGAAAATCAACATTTCTCAGAAATATTATACATAATATATTATTATTATTTTTATCATTATTATTATTATCATTATTGTTATAATTATCATTATTATTATTCGAAGAAATATTCATACTTTATACAAAATTAAGTTTATCGATATATTTAAATATATGAAAAATATGTAAAACGTAAGCTAAACAAACAGACATAACTGAATTCAATTTATATAATTATTTTGTACAAATGATGATGTCTTATAATGTGATTATAGGTAAATGTATCGTATGTAGAGTCACGTAGCTGAGAGATAACCGAAAAATATGGATATCACAATTAAAATTTTTAAAAAAAATAAAACTTGATTATTCAGGTTATTTAACTTTAGCTACTCGATTTGACTACTTTAGCTTTAGTGTCAGCTGCACCATTCTGTTCAAGCAGTAAGATATAGATAGATATATTGGTTAAATTATTCTCGGACACATCACTTAATTTCTGAATACGAACTTCTATAATTTCTTGCAGTCTGACATAATGACCATGCACCTATAAACCTGATAGATCCATAACTACCAACTACCCCGGATTAGAGTTGAAAGTTCTTATTAACACATTACTTAACACATTTGTGTAATTAGCGAAATTTTTTTGTTTCTATCTAACTACACAGATTACAGTTATTAAAGATTGTTATTAATGACGCTCATTACTTAAGATTTATATTTAATTAGCGAATTTTCTTAGATTGTTCATTCCAATAAATGAGACGAAATTCAGTATCTTTAAACTTATAGCTGACAAAGTATTATATTTGATTTGTTGAGGGAAAGATATATACATATGTATATAATATATATATACAATCAATTAGCTTATAATTATTTTTTTTTATACTATAATATAATATGTATAGATCACAACCGTCAGTATTATTATAAAAGAGCCAATATAACATCAAAGATTATTCTAATAACGATATTTTTTAACTTAACTCTTACCCAATTATTTATTAATATGCTATATTATTTCACTCTACTTAAATATATTAATATATATATGTACTTTTAAAAGTTTGTTTACTCACCAATTATACGAAGACTTACAATCGCACTGGACTTGGGCTCTGTTGACACTTGACACTCATACGTGCCTGCGTCCTTCAGTTGGACGTACTTTATTTGCAGTGACCAACGCTCGGGATTCGGCGTGTAGATTGATTGAAAACGTTGATCGGCTATAAATGTCGTTTGGTCAACGGTCAGAATGTGACCATCTCGTACACGCAACCATGAAATTGGCTTCTTAACAAGTTGCTTGACCTAAAATTATAAATTTTTTATTTACTCATAATGAACTTGTTTGTCTTATTTTGTTGCATCTTCTATCAAAAAATTATTAATAATGTCGTACCATGTTTCTGACATTTGACTTCCTACGAAAGGAATTACATTAAGTCTTGGGCGTTTCATTTAAAAAACGTGCTATTCAACCTATTTATGGTATCATAAGCAAATAACAATTCATTACTCTCAATAATGACGCAATGACAGTAATAATTTGGTAGCAATTTTCTAAAGCTTCCTTAATGTGCACAAAAGCCAAACTGTATTCGGTAGTGGCGCAAGGATTCAATATGACAACAGGACACAAGCGGCTCCTTTTAAATTAATATGAAATGTGCCCTGCTTTGTTGAGAGTAACCATTGTACAAAGTAACTTTGTCATGAGATATTGTTGTTGTCAGTATTGTTATTGTACGTGATGTTGTTGTTGTTGTTGTTGTCGTCGTCGTTGGTTGTCAGTTTAATATCTAGCGTACTATTCATAAGTATTGTAGTTGGGAGCAGCTTTCGAATGGCAACCTCAGTCAGTGTCGCTCTAACAAAATATATTAAAAAAAAGTTTGTATTTGACCTTCGTGGCAGTTTCTCTTAGTTATTATTTTCTAAACTTTATTACGCTGCCCTGATTTCAGACATTGTCATTGCATGTCAACTAAATTATGTTTCGGTTACATTTTCTTCAATGGGAACATTTTTAATATAGACTCGGGATAAGATTTTAATGCTCTAACATCAACAAAGTGCGAGTAAGTATAGCTGAACTATATTAAATTGTGCTGGAACAGACAGACAATGAACAGCAGCGTAGGACTCATAATATTGTAATAAAGGACAGCAGAGCAACGTCATTATGATGTGAGCTTATAGCTATCATTGAGTACTGCCGAGCCACTCGAAAGTGTGTGCCGAATGGCACAAGGTAAGTTGCTTGGTTCGTTGGTTGGTAGGTTGGTTGGTTGGTAGATTGGTAGGTTGAAGGCGCACAATATTGAGGTTATCTCAAAATTAGCCAATTTAAATTTCTTATTATCACAGAACTTATCCTGTTATAAATTTTGGTTAATTTACGCAAACAAATGGCAGGATTAGATAAGTGTGGAAAAGTTGAAGTACAAGATTCTGTGAGGATAAAAGCTGTTGAGTGCATGTTAATAAAAGTTTACGACTTTGCAAAACGGAAGTGAGTAAAAGCATTTAAAGCTTTTAATTGTTTTAAGGTTTGCACAATTAACGCAAAACTCAAATTACTTTTTGAAGTGCATGGATAAACTTTTGAAGTGATTATAATTAAAATCTTATTGTATCTATTTTTTTTTTAAATTTTTACTAATTCATGATTAATTTTTGCATAAATAATTAGGACAAAAGTAAATTATAGAATACATTTGTATATAAATGAGCTCCTTTTGTATTTTATATTGCTAAAGTTACGTCTTATTTAAAGTCTAAAATTGATTAACTAAATTTAATAAGTTGATTTAATTTTCAATTATATAGATATTTAAGTAATTCATGATACATAAAACAACAGTTATAAGAACCTATTGCTCCTTAATAAGTGAAAAAGTATTCGTCGTTTTTTGGTATATGTTTGATTACTTATTTTTTTTATTGAAAATTTGATTTTAAAAACTTTTATGATGACCATTATTAATTGTAACCTTTTTTTGCCACTTTTTAGTTAGCTTTATAAATCCATCGATATAAAAATTCTGTGGTGTATCGACAAAAAATTTAACAAAGTGATTTTCACTGGCTGCTTGGTGGGCTAATTAAGAGAGTTCCACAAAAAACGATAAAAATGTAGTCAGGTTGTGCAAGAACTGAGCTATACGATGGATGCATCAAAACTTTTTAAACAAGCTTCACAAATTTATTTACAGTCATTAACGATGTGTGTATCTTGGCATTGTTATTGTTTCCATATGTCTACTATTCCATTAGAACAACGCATGTTCTAATGCCCAATTCTAATCGCTTTTCCTTTATTGTTTCGTTCAAGCAATCTAGTTGTGGGTAGTAGAAGCCGAATTAATGGTTGTACTGGACTGGAGCAGTTTGTAATATAAAACTAGACTTTCAACCACACCAAACACAGCATTACCTTATTTGAGTGAACCAATGCTTTATACAATATATCTTAATATTTATAACGGTGATTTATTTTACAATTACTTTGAAAAACAAATATATATATATATACACCACATAATATTTCTTTACAAATTAACAGGCTACATAACGCTGTTACCTGCATTATAATAGCAACCAATTGCCAAGAGGCATTCAGAATTGCAAGCGATACATTTCGTTTCTAATTTATTTGAAGACTTTCATACAAAAACAGAATTTCATTGTTAAAATGTTGTAATTATTAGTTGATGCTTTTATTACCGATAAATAATATAAACACTCCTTTTTAGGTCCTTTTGTTTTTCTTGTATTAAAACTACTCAGTCCCATCTATGTACGTGCTGTGGATTAAAAGTCAACAATACAGTCTTAAAAAGGATAGAGGAAGAAGCAGTCGAAATAAAAAAAGGCTATAGTGATAAGGTTTTGGATGCAAGAAATTAGGGTCCCTTAATTGAATGGCCAATTAGATGTCATTAAATTCGTTGTTTTCAGTTTAATAATTTCTATATTGAACAATTATCTTTGACCTCAAGTAATTTTTGGTGTTATTACGATAAAAATAAATTTTACTCTGATGACAGGTTACAGATTACAACTTATAATAAACGAATAAATATTAATTTTATAATCAACACAATTATTTAATAACTTTAATTTTTAACACGTAGCTTATGAGTTCGAATACAAATCCCTGATAATGTTCTCTCTTGACCTCTTTATCAAAGACTTAATGTTTTCGTGTTAAATTTAAATATGAAATAAAGTAAATATGTACCGATAAACAAAGGCTGAATTACATAAAACCAATCGCAACAATATCTCTTTTAAATAAGGAAGTACTTACATTGCAAGGCAAATAAGCGTGTGTTCCGGCTTGGCTTATTATTGTCTGAAAATCGTCGATTGGTGGTGTTGGTCTTAATGTTGTGGTCGGTATCGCACGTCGAGTAGTTGTTGTTGCTGCTGTTGGTGTCGGTGTTGTCGTTGTCGTTGTCGTTGCTTGTTGTGCAGTTGCGTTTGCATTCTCTGCAGATAATGTTGCAATTGCTGTTGCTGCATTTGCGGTAACAGTTTCGCTTCTAGCCACTTTATTATTTAAGTGCTCAACTGCTGTTGACAACTCATCATGTCGCACTGCTGGAGATGTTGTTGACGTTACTTGTGTTATGGCATCAAATTGCTGTACTTGGCGTGTGTATTCCATTTTAAGTTGCATTTTCAGCTCCTGCTTTTGCAATAGCATAAGATTTTCTTCTTTATAAGATTCATGGTCGTTGCTAGTTTTTGGTTTTGGCAGCAACAGTGGCTTGGCATTTTGTTCCAAAACATTCTCTGTGAATTTTCTTACCTCAAACTTGTTGTTATTGCTGTTACCTACATTACGACCAATTAGTTGGTTGTTGTTACTGCCATTTGAATTGCTGCTATCATCATTTTTCCAAATTTTTCTCTTATTTGTTGTTATTGATGTTTCTGTTGTTAGCAATTTCGTATCTATTGTTACGTGTTTTGTGAATTCTACAGCAAATGCTGGTGGGGCTTTTGTTGTTGTCAAATCATTTTCTGTTGTAGGGAGAAATAATGAATCTCGTGTCCCTCTTAAGAAGCTTAAATTTTTAGTCTTGTTTGTTGGTTTTAATGTGGGCTCTATTGTTGGAAATGTGCTATTGTATGTTGCTGCCACTTGAATTGGTTTCTCTGCTGCAACTTTGCTTATTGATGTTGTTATTGTTGGATATTTTATCGTTGGACTTGTAGACTGAATCCTTAAAAATGTGCTGTCATTTGTATTATGGTCTTGTAATGATGCAGCTGTTTTAGTTGTTACAACTCTTGCAGTTTCTTTGGCTACTGCATTGGATGATTTTGTTGAAATTGTTGCCGTAACGGCGCTTTCAATAGCATTCAAAGTTGAACCTTTTGTAAATTATATAGAAATAAAAATGATTAAATTTTATTTTTTTTTCTTGAAAAAAATTTTAATTTAATTTAAAATACATTTAATATTATAGTAGTTTAGTTAGTTTTGACTTTGTCGAACTGTAAACACCCTTTAGATAATGATATTAAAAGCTTTTAACTAAAAGTTTTCCAACTTAAACAATAAGTTCTTAAAGTTTATCAGTAAAGATTAAATACTATAGACTAAAATAACTGATATCGGTATTTTGAATAGTTTTAATTGCTCAATTGCTCAGAAAAACCCAAAATATATTATTTGTTCTAAAAGTAAAATATGGAAACAAATCCATATCATAAAATACAGATTTTGATATCAAAGTAAAAATACACAACATAAAATCTATCCATTCTAACATTCTTAGAGTGTAATAGACAGACATGGAATAGTAGACATTTGGAAAAATGAAAATGTAAATATTATTCGATATTTCGTATGTTAAATTCTATATTTGTCAACATTCATACAAGAACTAAATTCCATATACTTAAGATATCGAATATAGCATATATATATTTGCTTTCACTCGAGCAAAAAGATGGAGTTATTCGAATTAGAGATAGAGATATTATTCGAAATAAAACCTCAACATTATTTAATAATGTAACAATGGAAAAAACTGAACATTATGCAGTGATTCAATTTGTTGTAAAACACATTCAAATAATGAAAAAAACCTGAACATAATTCTGCTTTATAATAAACAATAGTATGTGTATGGGTCGTATTTTTTTAAATAAAGTTCTACAAGTTTTGGAGACAATTCTCAAGATGAACATCCAAAAACTCAATTTACGTCAGTGATCATTGCAGATATACGGAATTAAGTTTCAGCATATCTTCGATTGAGTGAAAGATATATAGTAAAAGCTCTAAGCGAAGATTAGGAAGAATGAGCAACTTTTGTAACAACTTTCAGTTTCCAAAAAGCAGTGTCTACAATGCGATTTTATCAGCAACATTTGGAACAACATTTTAGAAAATATAAATACAGTTTTGTAGATAGTTTTATTATTATAGATAAGACCTAATTATACAATCATGATCCACTAAGGATTGGTGTGTACCCGACTGTTTGGTTCCGGTGCAAATTTGTTTCTAGATATCGAAACATTAGTTCGTTTCTAATGTTAGTTTTTTGAGAGGAAAAAAGAATTTTGTGAATAGATAAACTCCAAACTGGTACAAAATATGCTATATTATCTTTTGTTAGTTCCACGCTCTGGTTCATGATATATATATAAAAGTAGTTTAATGGTTGGTTATAACAATATTAGACAGTAGTATTAATTTCCTATAGAAATGTTCCGAGTAGATAAATTTAGACAGGAATTGATAAATTTTATACAATCTTGTTTAAAATAGTTGTGAATTAAATACTTTAAAATTAAAAAATACAATAATACTTTTAAATTAATTTGATTTTTAATAGATCTCAATTTTCCACTCAATTTTAAAAATTAAAAAAATTAATTATGTAAATATATGACTATGCACTGAGATAGATAAATATATTAAACAATTTTAAAATGTTTTCTTATTTATTGTTTATTATTATACTTCAATATTATTATTGTTTTCTTGATTAATAAATTTTATTTGTGTTTGTAACCACTTTAATTTTGAATGTGTTATTTTACGACATTGTGGAATTTTATGTTACATTTCAAATAAACAACTTTTTTTTTTATCATTTTCACCCAAACGCAACATCGATTTTTGTAAACAACTTCAGATGTATCTGTAATACATTTTATTTAAAAACTTTTTTATTGACCGAACACTCAAAAGAAAGCTTTAACCTAAGCCTAGGAAAAGCTTGGTTTATATACAACACATGACAACTTCAATAGAAAAAATCAACTTTCAAAATTGTCATACAACTAGAATTGGCATGAGACACTCGAACGGTCACTACACCTAAAACAATGGAAACTATTAACAGATCAGAGTTTAAAAGTAGACACGATTTTAAAGTCCATAACGATAACATATAACGCAGTCGTTTGTTTGGGACGATTGTTTTTAAATAATTGATGGCAACTGTAATCATGTTACAATTATAAAGCATTATTTGATTTAATTTAAAACTAATTATTAAAATTTTTATAACCAACTTAACCTTATATGTATAATAATATACCAAATACTAACTATAAAATAAGAAGGTGGGTTCTTTCACCAAATCGTAATTGAAGTAGACTGGACTATATCAATTATTTTTTTTCTAAAAGCATGCGGCATACCTATAATCCATATATTTTTGAAAGATTCTTCTTTTTTCTATAGTGAATATTATTACAATTATTTTGAACCATTTTAACGATGATTGAAAAAAATATTGATGTGTTTAATAATGAATGTCCACGTGCGTTATCATCAGGATGAAATTTCATGATAGTGGTTTAAGATTAGTTACGTTAACTGATATATGTTTTTTTTTTAATAATTATAAAGACACTCATTTTTTTCTTTTCACCAAAAGAAAACAATAATATAAAGACATAAAAAATATCTTCAAGTAACATGGCAAATAATAATATTCTTACATTTTTGTGAGAAGTCCTGCACAGATAATTTAAGTATTAAATGAAAATTTATGGTAAATTGAATTTCAAATATTTTTTAATGTTTTTCGGACTGACATTGCCGAGTAGTCCTTATTTGCATTCAATTTCTTATTGAATTAGAAAAAAATTGAAATCAATAATTTTTATATTTTGTTTTCATAAAGCATTTAGCTTTGAAGAAGCAAAAGTCAACAAAAACCAAATGATACCGAGACATACCAGTGCCTTCTTTATAATTGTGTTGATTGTTTTTTATGCAAAGAAATTAATAATATTAAAAAAGAAAAATATTGAAATCAAATAGGACAACTTTTTATTTATAATGGCGATTTAAATAAAAAGCAACTAGAATCAAATAATTTTAAAATTTAGTCATTTTTATTTTTCCTATTACATTTATGTTGAATTTGAGTTCATTTAGTTAGAAGGAATCTAAGTATGTATACATAAGATAAAAAAAACAGAGTAAACTTATTAAGACTATTAGGATATTAAAAAGAAAATTTATTTATTGCATATGAAGTGAGTTGGAATTACATATAAATTTTTTAACTAAACATTTAGTGTTCTTCATAAAATCTTGGTTATATCAGTAGGCCGTCAAAGCAGCTCTAACATACACAAAGAGAATTTGGAAATGGTCAGCATTTTCGTGCAATATTCATCTCCTCTATTGACGAATGACTTAAACAATACCACAACCCACAGATGTAGCTTTCCACTTTCCATACAAACACCAATATGTTTTTGGGTTGCGCATTTTTTAAAAATTACCACTTAATTTGTTTATAAAGTTAGAAAGCCGTGATGCTTCCGGGCTACTTCTGTTCTAAAATTTAGAGTATAAATTTACTATACATTTTACACTCGTCAGTAAAAAAGCTTTCACGCTTAAATGTACTAAATGCCATAAAATATCGGCTTTTCAATGAACGTATTCACCTATAAATTACTATAAACTAAAACTAACAAGAGCCAAACCGCCAGCTAATAATACGAAAAAATTAAAGAAAACTCCAACCAAATTGTGCGCAAACGGTAATCGAGCTCAAAAAGGCTCACAACTAAAACCAACTTTATATAATACCTAACTACACAAAATTAATAGCTACTTAATAACAACCTTACCTTTATAGTTTTTCTATTACATGTTTTTAGTTCCCTTAACCTCAGAGCTGCGTCATAACAAAAAAGTATCTTCCCTAAGTATTGATATTAAAATCAACATATTCTCTCTTCTTTCTAAAAATTTGACCACGTAACCTGACAACCAATTTGGTAACAAATTTTAATAACATTAAAGTCTGTTTACCAATTTTCCACATTTCAGCGTATATTTTAACGATATTACATATAAATTTTGACTTAATTAAGCAATGTTCAAACAGTATCTGTACCGAAACCTAAGCTCCTTGTGGCAATGAAAGCGATTTAATATGGTTGCAGATGATTTTTGACACGCTGTGAACGTTTGATAGCCTTAAGCTACGTGTATTCTGTTGATGCATAATCAGTTTGGCAAATATTTTAAAACGAATTATTTACGCACATTTGTAAATGATATTTACAATGATGAATTGAACATTCAATTTGTTAATTTTTCACAAAAACATTGTTACTTAGCAACTAAAAAAATGACACAAATATTGAACGTTTACGATACATTTTAATACTTTTAATTTCAAGTAATCGTATTTGAGGTAGCATACGTTTTAATTTAAGAAGTCTAAGAATCCATGTCTTTAAATTAGTGGAATTATTCTAACTGGGATCCTTATGCGAGCCTTGCATATTCTAACTAACACTCTTAATAAAGCAATTGCCACGTCAAGTCATCATGATATATGTGAAATCTAAATGAAGTTTCTATCGACGGAATTTAAGCAACTAGAAGGAACTGCAATTCACATAAAAAATAGTTTGATGTGTTATTAAAAAATTTTATATTATAAAGTATAAAACTTTTTTAATATAGATCAGCAGTTTTTACTGATATTAGATTATTTTATAAATACACTGTTCGTTTTAGTATACTACATAATAAATTTATCTTCTCTAAGAAAATAATTTTAGTCGGTTTCATTTACCATGAAACCGACTTTTCTGTCAATAACTTGGTCAACAAAGAAAAAATGGCAAATTTGGAGTAAAGTGATTCCAAAGAGGATTCAGCAACATATGCATGCTCCGAAATGTTCCAATGATGGCATAATTTTGATCCATACTTATACTCAGATGAAGAGAATTGAAATGTCAACATCTGTAAATACCGGTGAATCGTCGTGAGACGATTAATTTTTGCTATTTGTTGGTTAAGCATCTTTGAATGGTTAAAGTTTTCAGAGAAACCAATAGGTAGCAATAAGTTGAATCGTCTCTAAGATCGTGTAATTCACTGCCGCTAAAGAAATTTTTATTTTTTCGATTGACATCGATTGAGAAAACAGTTTATAACGTGCAACTGACACGAAATCTTTTTTCTAGGATTGATACGAAATTGAGATCACATATCTGACCCGAAATTTCTATATTGTTCAGTATAGAATTGTCACATCTCATCTCATAAATTTCAGATTGCATATAATAACACCACTTAAAAATTCTACTGCTACCAGGAGCTTGTCTTATCAATTTTTGAAAGATTCTTTGGATACTTTGGAGAAAAAAACAAATGTAAAGACCTGAATTTATTTTGTGTTCCAGTATTTTTTCAGATTTATTGCAGAAAAATAAAATGTTAAGTCTTTAATTAACTAGTTTAGTTAATTTACATTACTGGTTAATGCAAATATAAAACAATATAAATTCAAAATATATTTTTACTCCTCGAATGCCCTCATGCATTTACAATACTGTCGCGTTTTATAAATAAGTTTGTAAATTTGTTAAATTTTGTAGATATGAATATGATGAAGTTCTTCAACCACCACTTTAGGATTAACCTAAATTGATACATCCTCCGGAAGGCCTTCAGAAATCACACCCCACTTCTCGTATAAATAAAAAGCAAGGTCACGAAAAGCGAGCGGCAACGGTTTATAGCTTAAAGAAGAGCACATATAGGACTTAAAATCACGTGATTTATAATTATGTGCTCTCATGCCAAAAGAGCACTTCCAAATATGTGCTTGTTGAATCATTATCAGTTTCTTAATAAGCTCTTGCTGCATTGCTTTCCCATCTGGAATCGCACCTAAAAACTTACACAACAAAGCAGAATCAACGCTACCGGAACTATCGTTATCAGCAAGAAGTTGCAAACCATAACCTTCCATTGGCATATCAACTAAGCCTGGCGTGTTTAGAACATCAGAACCCACATTTAAGTTGAAGTTATACTTTTTTATCCAGTAAAGAAACTTTCGCATGTCATCTTCACTCATGGCTGGATTCCTATTCACACTATCCATTACGCTCAAAAAGTGTGAAACACCACTAGCCAACTGCTTACGCTCCTTTAACCACTCGGGACTCTTTGCACCTTGCAACATTCTTTCAAATTTCTCGTCAGTACCAGACATACCCCTGATAACGCCAGTCTCCTTGACAAGTACTTTGGCAGGCACATAACGGCTACATGAAACAGTACAGCTTTTCATGAAGAGTGACGTCTTTTTAAACTGCTCAAATTCCTCTTTTGAGAGTGTCTTTTTAGCATACTCTAGGTTACCAGTTTTGTCCTTTAAGCAGATAACATAATGATTCTCACGCTCAGCTGGAAGAATGTACGTAATAACTTGAGATGGATTTACATTCTTCATTACACGCATCAGCCCTTCAAATTTTCCGATGCCTCTTCTGTAATTTTCAATTGCTAAGCCGCCTTCAGCCATTTTTACAATTTTCACAATACAAAACCGAAACAAATTTTGACTAAAAGTTCTGTAAGGAACACAAATTCATTTTATATTCTGTACACAAAATTTATTACATATCAATTTTTTTATAAAGTTCAATTAAATAGCCTACTTAACACATTTATATATGTTATTTATTTTTTTTTAGTGCTAGAATTTTACAAATAACTGAACAGTATTTATGACGTTTTCGATTAGTAAATTTGTGCTTATTTTTTCAATCGAGATGCTCTTTTATCGCATTTTTAGTGCAATTTTATTTTCGGTTAGTAAGTCTATCACAAAAAGGTTATTACTCTGTTCGATTGGGTAACAAAATTTGACACATTGAGAGTTAATCTAGATTGAATCTAGATTTACCAATCGAAAACGTCCTTAGATGAAATAGTAATTAAAAGATTGATTTTAATAATTGATAATAATAAGATGATAATTGATGATGATAATAAGATTGATTTTAATAATTTGTGCTTTAACTTATATTTTTCTTTATATAACTGAACTAATTAAAAACCAAACTGCTTACAAGGATAGTTTGAAAAGTTTTGCTTTGCTGTTAATGTCATCTCAATTAAGTAGAGCTCTTCTAATAAAGTGCGATATTTATCAAGTATGATGTAGTGGAAATTTTTCTAAATTCGAGTTATTAATATCAATCTAAAAATCAATATTTATTAGATAAGCTAAAAAGAGAGTCTATGTTCAATTATATGGTTATATATGTGCTTATTTTAAATTATTCCAACAGACGGACGTATGACAGGACGAATAATTCTATTACATTTCATATTATTCTATATTAAACAAACTAAATTAAAAAAATTTTACTTTCTTATATTTCAAATATTACAAATCTTATTTAACATTTCTTTGTTTTTGTTATTGTTTAAGTCTCTCTTTTTCATTTCCGTGATATTATATTTCATTCGGAATTTATTGTTTCATTCCATAGTTTGAAGTAATCTTTCGTTGCATCTTCGCATCATCTTAGACACAGTTTGTCTGGGTTATTTTGACGTATCGCATTTAAGTTATTGTTAAACTACGATATTCTTTCCTTGTATTTTTAGTTTTAGAAAACTTTCCTCTTATTTCAAAAATTTCCATTGGGATTTATTTAACTACACTATTCAGTTGTGGAAGGTTATGTAGTTTGCGCACATCTTCGTGTCATCAATATTGTTCAACTCAATTATGGCGATGGTCGCCGAGGGATCATTTCTTAAACAACAAAAGAAAATTATCAAACAACTCTGATGAAAATAATATCAATGATGGAATTTATACTTTATTTTATTTATTTATTTTTCTGCAATTGCACTTGTATATTTTTTTCCAAAAGATTTACAAAGTTAATGCGTTGAAATAATGCACAAAGGTGATATAAAAGAAAAAATTAAAAGATTTTTATTTTCATAACGAGTGAAAAGACAAGTAAAATGTATTTTAGTTTTCTTTGAAATTTCATTTAGAATTTATGCAAAAAAATCTGCAATTTTCTTAAAAAATATTCAAAAAGATATTCTCATTGTTAAATAACTTAATATTTGCGTTTCAACAGTTTTCAAAGAAATTCTGTAGTTTCGAAATAAAAAAAAAATAAAGAAAATTTAAATTTAGTCTCAACAAAAGCTAAGATGTATATTTATATTTGACAGTAAAAAAGGAGTGCATATAAATTATTCTTGATTCTTTTTCTTGAGTTAGTGCTATTACGCATTTTTACTCTATAACGGCTGGGGGGCTTATCTCTACCCCACACTAGGCTGTAACTAGGCTAAGAAATCATATCATTTATTTGTCTTTTAGTTGATGACGAACCTTAAATCAGCATATCTTCCTGAGAGTCCAGAAGTGAACTTGAGGATTGTTAGGGCGGGGTATGCATATATATAAATATAGATATCAGTAGTTGACAAGTAAAAGACGGGTTCCCTTACTCAGACCTAAGAAATATTGTAACATATTAAGCACGTAAACATATTAAATAAAATAGAAAATTGTTATTAATATCAACATTTTAATCCAAACTGAATTTTGAATTTCATTGCAGTTTCTTTCCATTTAATCCTATTTATTGCTGGCCTTTAACAACATCCCACTCCCATTATATTGGTCAACTCTATGTATCTTGAAATCATTTTTCAATAAATATAAACTTTAGTGGAAAAATTATATTAAATAAAACATATATGTGGGTATCTAAAATTGATCCTTCATCCGTGACTTCATATTTGAATAACTTCAAAACGAATACTGAAGGTCGAATAACTTGGCTCAACAAATTTATACGTAAATGATCGGTTATGAACTCAAAAAAAAAATAGTATTTCAATAGTCTTGTAATATTTTTTGATCTAAATTAATGTATGAAAAAAATATATAAAATATATAACAATTAGTGCTTTGAATATATATTTAAAATCGTGAAATAGTTTATAAAATTAATTAAAACAAATAATTAGAAAAGAATATAATATTAATATTAACACAATAAATAAAATAAGTCCTACATTGCCAACGAATTGCATTCCTATCAACTACGATGTCAACCCCTTCACTTTAGACACATAAGAAGTCAGTGCATTACTTAATTAGATTCAATTAAATTCATTAAATAAGTGAAAGTTCTTTAATAAGTGGTCAGCGTTTAATATAGCATAATAACTATAAGTGCAATAAAAAAAATAAAAGCTAAAGTGTCAAAGTATCAGTTAATAGCATCTTGTAATAAAACTTAACTGCAGCTAATAAATCTGAAAAGGAATACCAAATATCAAATATTATATATAAAATGCTGGTGTGTCAATTTCTACCGTATGGCTACGTGATAGGAAGAATCAAACTTTAAAATAGTTTGCTATTTGAACGAAAAAAATGTAAAAGAATAAATGGCAATGAAAATCGAATTAAAATTAGCTTAACGTAGAAGCACAATAACAACAAATTATCATCCATGCTGTTAAAACACAACGAATAACACTGACTCGTTACCTTATCCGAAAGTTGGATGACAGAACACTTAAATTATATAGAAGAGCTATTGTATAAGAATTGTATAGAAGAACAAAAACAATGATTCCATGGATGAGGACCAAGGGAATTACAAAATTGGAGTTCTGCCACAGTCAATGTGTTTCTTATGCTTATATAGCATATTAAGCATTATTATTTTAAAAATATCATTTATTGATTTATTTTTTATAAATATTAAATTTTAATAAATAAACTAAAAAAATATTAAATAATTTTAAATAATACATTTATAATGTATAATATATATTCAATACATATGTTATAAAAAGTTCAGGTTGTCTTTGATGAGTTCGTAGTAGAACTATTCGATTTGAATAAATTTGGGTAATTAGAAAAAAGCCTTTTTTCCATCCTTTTTGAGCACATGTTTGTTCAAGGTTTATCTTTTGAAGTTCAGGACGAAAGTTTGTGAATACAACCATCCTATCCTATTCTAGCCTAGGAGGCAAGCCTTTTGGGACTAACAATTTTGAGTAGCGTTATGTGTTTTAGGTACTTTGTTTATAAAAGCATAAAGTGCTTGAAGTGTTTCTTTTCAATTATTTTAAATTTTGTTTGTATAAAAACTATGGTGTGACAACCCAAAAAAAAAATTGCCTTAACATTATAAGAGGTGTTTTTATTTGTTCAAGGAGCGCAAAACTTTTCAATTGCCAAAAGGCACCGAAATTTCTTAGAATGACTCTGCATTCACAATTTTTATTTCTTAATCTAATATTGCAAATATATAAATTTTATTGAAGAATTGCATAGAGTTGGTCGACACCTCAAATTCAATTAATAAAAAGAAATAACTATAATTAATTAATTCAAATAATTCTACAGCGAGTTCATGATTTCCTTCTAATCTAATATAACACAGCAAGTAAATTTGTTAACGAACTTTCACAACAAAACTCCAGAAAAATGTGCGAACATAAAAGTCAAGTACGGCTTTGGGTCAGTTGGTTAAGTTGGCGCTGACTCTGAGCTTTAAATTTAGCAGGTCACGAGCTCGATTCTTAGTACTTGCAGTCCCAAAAAATAATTTATGAATAATTAAATATGAGAATTATTTCCTAGACCACTGATGATGGGTATTTGGCAATACTCGATAGTCGACAGCTGTATAGTCAGCCAAAAATTCAATTAATTAAAATAATATAAAATTTTGTTATTGCAATTCATTACTGTTTGAAACCTAATGTAAGACAGTAAGCAATAAACAATAAATTGTTAAAACTATAAGTTAGATAAACACAAATCAAGTACCGTATAAAGTCAATTGTATAAAATGTGACTCTGCTCTTCGTATATATGATCAATTTAAATAAAAAAATTTTAAAAAATGTTTTTAAAGTCTACAGATTATAACTATTTTGTAATATCTAAAATAGCTGTATGATTAGACATTAATTAATTAATTAAGAATTAAAAACTAGTTTTTTTTAACTCAATATTCACCCTATTTCTATTTAAAATATTTGCGTCAACAAGATAAAATATATAATTGTACTACAATATAATATTTAAGCTTGTTAAATTAGTTAACAAATTAACTAATTTCTTCTATGAAATGTAGAAATGTATGTATTTTAAAGATTTTTTTTTTTTAAGCAACTGAATTTAATCTAAGCTCATCCAAATCTCTACATCTATTGTACTTACCTAATTTCCCTAATGTACCTAATTTCAAGTAATTTTTAAAACCATTATTCCAATTGTTCAATTTATGTTCTGCTAATAGATACAGCCATTTATTTATTTCCAAATGGCGATTATTTCTATCTGCGAAAGCAGTTCTTCCTGTTCTAGCTTCATTTTCAACTATTCTTCTTATAAGAAGAAAAGTTAATGATGGAGGTAATAATCAAAATCTTATATTATTTATTCGTGTTTATTCGTAAATTATCGAAATTCAAAAACTAGTTTGCCTTCCAACAAAAATACATACAGGCAGTCAACACTCAATCTATCGTCATACGGACTAAAATATTTTCTTGATATATAGTTTTCAGAATTTCTAATATCTTCTTTGCTGTATTGCAACATCGTAGCTAACTTAGTATGTTATAAGATTTTGAAACGATACTTGCGAAGGGTATACATATAAATAAAGTCTTTAATTGGGTTACAATATCGATACTCAACATCTTACTTAGTCTCATCTGCACATTGCATTTATCATACAAACTGAAAGAGCTTAAACACACCTAAAGGCCTTAACAAAGCTTTAATTGTTCTTTAAGGATAGATCTTAAACTTACCTAATATTTTTAGAAAGTTAGTTCTTAGCATATTTAATACGTCTGTCTTAAGAGAATTACATATTTGTGATAAATAATTTTATATCACAAAAAAAAAAACTAGAACTATTAGTAAACTTTGTAACCATTGTCAAAACTTTTTCCCTTCTCATAACAGAGTAAGATAAGATAAAGTAAAAAAGTGCATCATTCGACTATTCACTTTGTTTAATTATTACCTCACTTCGAAGAATTTTGCTTACTTAATTTATATTCTTAGTTAGAGAAATTTCACAGCATTTAACTTTCATTTTACTGCATTATCGAAGAGAAAACTATTTTCCCCACTAAAAAAAAATTAAATATTCACTTTGTATCTACGAGTCTTAAATAAATAAATGGATTCCACTAGATATGTAACTCTTTGTGCTGATTTTGGCTAGCAAAGCTCATATGTAAACACTAAATAAAATAAAATAAAATAAGATAAAATAAATAAATCTACATATTTGTACAAACTTACCAGGAACAAATATTAAAGCAACAAATAAAATAATCCAAATTGATGCTTGCATATTTTTAATATCCATTAAAGGTGAGGAAATGTCCAAACTAATCCTTTTAGATAAATTATTACGGAGCAAAAGCTGCAAAGTATCTTTATTTTTTGTATTTCTATGTAAAATTGAACAAATGTATAATAAATTTTTTTATTTTTTTACTCTGTTTATTGTTTTTTCTCGTTTTAAGTTTGTTTATTTATTTGTAATTTTTGAATTTAGCCAAATCCAATAGCAAGAAAACTCATGCTTTGGAAGTTTTGTGGTTTGTGCTGGTTTGTGTATTTTAAAATTGTACAACGTATCGAGGTTAGCATATTTCACGTGTTATGTTATTTAGATAAATTTTGCTTACAACACTTAAAGTAAACACAATGTATTTTAAAATTTAATAATACCAAGTTTGTATAACTTTTACTGTTTATAGATTGCGTTTAACTTCAGCTACAAATAGCGACCCTAAAGGATATGAAAAGATATGTGCAATAAATTTGCTATAGATTTAGATTTGTTAAGCTGATTGCTTACAAAATTGCCTAAAAATTGATATGAACGTGTTGAAGAAACATCAGGATACAAGAATACGAAACTAAAGGATAATAAAAAAAATGAACAATTGTTCAATGAAACGTGAAAGGAAATGGTCAACAAATAAAATGTTATGGACGACTGATTTTTGAATGAGGATATCTGCTAAGATTTTTTAATACAACAATGAAACACAAACTCAAAACAAAATATAAAAAAAAAATTTATAAACAGAAAGATATAAGCTCTAAGTTAAGTGCCTTAAAAAAACAAAACAAAAAGAAAGACTAGAAAAAAATTTAATAAAGTATTAGAAAAGTTTTGACAAAGGATAAATGCTTGTTTAGGATTTAAGACATATCAGTTTTAATTGAAAGTAATTCGGTAACATAATTCGGTTTGTAATATGTAATTTTTTCATTTATTTGATTTTCACTTCTATATTTTTGCACATTTGATTTCAATGTCTTTTCTAGTTACTTAAGTTTTCATTTTGTTAGTTTCATATCAAACTAACTCGGCACACATTTTATTTTACTACTGCACTGTTAATGCAACGTTCATGCACCAAAGTTATGTGTGCTGACAGCTGTTTAAGTGGCATAATTAAGTGCCACAAATTAAAAATTACTACCGTTGCTCTTTTGTCTCTTCAGTTTATAGTGGCAATTAAAAATAATTAATATTTTTTTTTTAATTATTTTTTTTTTATCATTTAATACCCGCTTATTTTAAAACATTTGTTTCTGATTAAATCTACTGACTTCATTCATTATTATTTATTTATATTTATATTTTCATGCGCAAATCGTACGACACATTCCACCGGCAGAAATTAAACTGAACCTTCAAACAATTTTATTCTATAGCAACGGGGCATGATTTTAGATTTTTTCTCCACATACAAATTTACTTAAACGGTTCGGTTTCCGTGTCGTATACGCAACCTACTGCATAATGCGTTTACGAAGTTTCTATGTTATAGTTCGGCTTTGACTCTATGCACATTTACACTGTTTAAAGGCAAAACTGTTAACAACATGAATTGTATTAAATGTAAATGTATTGAGTGGATCATATTTTACAGTGCAATTATAGTTAACATACAAGCCGCACTACTGTTAATGGTTGCTGTTAATAACAGATTAGCATAGCGTTTTTTAATACGGGTTTGTTGCAATAATAAGATTTAAGATTTATATTTGTAATAAGATTCTTTAAAGTGTACGTTTAATAAATTATTCTCAATTTTATTAAAATAATATTCTTATTACGTATTTAATCGCCAAATGATAAGCTATATACTTCCGAATAGGTAAGTGGTTTCTTGTGAAGAAATTTTTAAGTGGACCTTATCAATGTGTTTTCAGACACGGCAAATCCGTAACATACCAAATATTAACTGTGTTTTAAATCCTAGAAAAGACCTAAGAAAAATAAATTGACACACAATATCTATTTGTCGATATGAAGTATTCTTATGCCGCTATATTTGATTGGGACGTAACATATTGCGAAAAACCTCTCCGAATCGTTTCATACCAAACAAGTTTTTAGACAGGCCAACTCATTGTCGTAAAATTTCTTCAATATAAAGTTGAAAATATTAGTCTGAACAGTAAATTTGAACTATACTGGCACAATATTTTCCAAAACTTTTATGCTACTTGTGTATGTGGATGACATTGATATTATTAGCCTACTTACACGCGACATCAGTGCATCTTTTTGCAACTTAAAAAAACACAAACGAAGCAAACGGGTCTTGTGGTAAATAAAGAAAATCAAAATACATTCTGTACTTCCTATATATTCTAAAGTACTTTCTAACAACAAAAAAATTTCGTGAGCACCTTGGAACCTACGCCACTATTGACAAATATTAGGTCGAAGTTGTGAAATTTGTTTATTTTGGAGCGAAAACAAAGAACAAAAATGACATAAACCTAGAGATGCAACAGAGAAACACTCTTGTTAACACATGTTAGTTTGGGGTAAGTAAACAAGAAATTAAGCCCTCTTTCGACAAACAAATATTATGTTTTACATGCCAATCCCATCTTACATGTCTTGCTGTATGGTGCAAAAGATTGAACAATAACGAGAAGACATTCGAAAGAAAAATTGTTCGGAAGATTTATGTTGTCTTACGCATTGGTAACGAGTATCGAATTAGCTGTAACGATAAGCTGTATGAGATGTATACTACGACATTGATTATGTCAATGCATAACATTATAGCGGTTTCGCTGGCTCGGTCCTGACATGCGAACGAAAAAAAGTGCTCCGGTTCGAAAGGTGTATGATTTGGTACCCGCAGATGGAAACTCGGTAGAGCACGTTCGCATTTTTAATGGAAGGACCAGATGACCAATGATTTGGTACTAACAACTGGCAACAGAGTCACTGAATATCTACTACGAATATGGACTATTACAATATATCTATACAAGACATTGGTTTTTTTATTTTGACTATGAAATCACATTACGAAGTAAATGTAGCTTGCTAGGATATAGCATGAATAAAATTTAAAAACTTCCAAAAATAAAAATACAGAGAAACTAATAGTAAATCTATATACTAGACATTCATAGACATACATATACTAAAAACTTAAGAATGTCTGGGATATGGATGCTGTGTTATGTTAACTCATTATTGGTATGTTAATTACATTGTATTGTTAAATTTCGTTAACAGAAGATTTTTAAACAAATAACATTTTAAATAATAATCTACATTACCTGTGTTCCTTTGCCACTGCGAAAAATCTGTGATAAACCAATTATTGATAGTAAGACTTATTTCTAAGCACAACCTTAAAAAATCTGCTCCTTCCTTATATTTTTGAAATTACTGAAGACATTACGTTAACAGCTCGTGTTATTTTCTACCTATTGTAAACTAAAAAAGTACATTTAAACACTAATGTACATTATATTTATACAATTACCTTCATATTCCATGATAAATATGATTAATAAAACTTTACAGTAATTTATTTGGCAAAAATTGAGAAGTAGTTAAAAGTTACTACCATAGAACATGCTTTTTAGATAAGAAAAATCATTACCATAGCTGAGGAATCCCTATTAAGATTGAAATAGTTATTTGATATCAGTATAAATAGAATAAACATAGTTTTGCGACTATGTTATTGGTTGCCAGAATCATAATGGTACTATTATTAAACATATTATTACTTCAGAAGAATTCATACACGTAAAATGTATTTATAACAGTTGTTTAAGCTTTCAAAAATATCACAGCAAAACAAAAATATATCCAGTTAATTATTCCCCAGTATTTGGCACGATAAAATTTTTGTCTATAAGCTACCACATTGATGTCAATATACATTTTTGCCACTGGTCTCTGTAAGTCACATCTGGAGAAATTAGTCAGCGACACTTATTTGACGCTTATTATTAATAGTGCTCTTAATCAACATAACAGAAACGCTTAACATGGATATTTTAAGAGCTGTTAAATATTAAATGTTAAAAATGAGTAATCGTTCATATAAATTATATTACCTTTACTTTTATTTAAAACCTTCAATATCAGCTTTTTTTACTAAATTTCGCATCTTAGATTGATAATGGATTACATAAGCCAAATTTTAAAATAAATAATATTTGATTTATAACAAAAAATCAAGTTATTAAAGATTCTTCCGCATCGTTCAAAGGTTATAAGTCATCTATGTATCTGCACATAGCAGGAGCTGCATTGTGCTGTCAAATAAATTAAAAGAAAGTTCATGAAAAAATCAGAAACTTATGTTGGCTAATAAATGGTATAAGTTGATAAACAAATAATAAGTAAAAATATATCTAAATTAAATTTGAGAAATTAAAATGAGGAATATATTTATTAATAAAATTATATTTGATAAATTTATATAATTAGATTTTGCGTACTTACTTGTCGTTTTATTAAAAAAATATTCGTTAAAAATAACATCTCCATTTTGTTTCCATTAATACAATTCTATAGCTAAAATATAAAAAAAATTAATATAAGTCGCCCTCTCAAATTCAACATATTCCTTCACAATCAAGAACTGATTAATGATATCGTCTACCACGACATTTGGTAGAAGATTTCGAAGAGCTCGAGGAAGACTGCTCATTAGACAGACTATTAGAACGATTAAGTTTACGATCATTTCTTAAAGCGCTTGTTCCAGTTTTTCCAGATGTACCATCTGTACTTGATGTAGCCATTGTAGTGAAATCATCATTGTCTGAATTCAAATCCGACCAGTTTATGTTAGTAGAAGTGGTTGTTTCATTTTCACTGTTATGGTGTTTTTTCTTATAACAACATCGAGCTCTTGGATCATTGGCATCAATATACGTATTCCAATAGTTTGGTGAAGCGTTTTGTAATCTTTCTAAATAACTTAGATAAGTACAATATGTTAATTCTTTTTTTTTAGTACAGTCGCTTCTGTGATGATAATTACAAAGCGGGTCAAAAATCCAATTACGTGGTCTGTAAGGTAAATTTAAATGTACTAATAACAGACGTAATTCCGAAACTGGGCATGATTCTGTAGCTGCAAAAAACTCTAAGGCACGTTTTATTATTACGTCAACATCTTCATTTTGGACAATTTTTCGGACTTCTTCGCAATCACCACCACGGGATAAATACAACAAAAATGATGGTGGCATTATAGTAAAGCGTACACATTGCATTAATGATACTAAATAAATACTCCGTTCTTCCCAACAGTGATCCAGCCAACGTACAACGGAAAAGAAAACTTCACTTTCCATATTTACCTCAATGTAATTGGATGAGATTAAAAATTTCAATTCTTCAACAGTTAAAAAGAGGAACTCTGCAGTGCATGTTAAATGCAGATAAAATTTACGTACACGTTTTAGCATAACTTCTTTAAGCTCCGGAAAGTCGTAAGAGCGTGCTTGAAAGAATGCAAAAAAAGCTACGTCTTCGGTAAAATATTCCTCATTGCTAAAAATTTTCCAACAGGTCTCTATCAATAATGGAACTTCGAAGTATATTGCTGCTTTTATTACTTCCATAACTCCATCACATTCAATCTTTCTGCTTTTATCAACCATCCAGTAGTATAACACCTGAAAAGCTCCAGGACTTATGATATCATCTGGCAACTCCAGAGTTGTAACACTAGGGCGATCCTTAAAGAAATTAGAATAAGCTCTGAGAATCATTTTGTGACATTTGAATGCACAGTTTCCTATTTTGATATTGACATCACCATTGGATGTATCTTTAAAAACAGTTGATAATTTATCATAAGTATCAAAATCACGATGTTTTAAAGTCTCGCTCCAATTAGGAATTGAGTTACGAAAACCAATTTCATGTAAAGTTTTTGGAACGGTTTCTTTTAAATTTCGACGAGTAGAGCTCACTGTAGAATCTGGAACAACAACAAGGCTGTTTCAAAGAGATAAGGAATAAAAACAAAACTGTAAATATTAAATAAAATATTCAATAATTAGAAATGTAATATATAATATTACATTGTATAAAATGTGCAATATAGAATATAAAATATAGAATATAGAACCTAAAATATAGAATACAAAATATAAAATATAGAATATTGAATAATGAATATACAACATAGAATATAGAATATAAAATATAGAATAAATAATATAGAATACATAATATGGAATACTGAATATAGCACTTAGCACATAAAATACAGAATATACAATAAGATTAGATATCGAATAAGATTAGTTTAAAAAAACAAAAACAAAGTTATTATTGTGATGATGTTTTATTCTTGTTTGTTCAAAGAATTATTCTTCCAAATTAACATATCGTTGCAAATATTTTAACTAATTTTTTAAATAAATTTTTTTATAACAAAGCCATTTAAATGACTAGAATATTATCGAAACAATGTTCTCTTATCGTCAATTTTAGAATATATTGTAGGGTGCTATTGTAAATCAAGTGAATAGAGTATATAATTGATAGCAATGAAGCTTTTTTTGATCAAGAACGCATACACCATTACTATTTTGTGCGGTGTTGTAATATTATCCGATTTTCAAATTGTGTTGCACAATTCTGGCGCAAATTATATTCTTAAATATTTAGTTAAGTCGTAGCAAAACATCAAGTGAATTTACTAAAATTGGTAGTAAGTACTATGTTATGCAGACTGTTATTTTCACAGCAAAAATGCAATTGTTGTTTTTCTCAATGTACGTTACAAATTTGAAAATGGGAGTAACAGAGAAATTTCGATTAAAACTTGGTTACGGTAATAAGTGCCTCGTCACATTAATCAAAACAGAGTTATAGACTAATATGTGTCTAAATGGCATATATATTTATGTATGTATGTGCATTTTTGCGTGGATATGTGATTTTATCTACATAAAATATATTATCATAATATGCCTTTACGAACATAATGTGGTCTAAATAGACAACCTGTACATTATACAACTACCATCATTCATTTATAGATGTCACTGAGTAAAAAAATTTCTTTAAAGCTGGTCTTGTCAATACTATCTCCAACTGTGTGTGAAAAGCTATAGTTAATATAGTCTTAATAACTGACGCAAAAGTACAACTAAAGCCAGAAATTACAAAATTATTTGTATTAATAAAATTTTATGTAACTTACCTCTCCTGTAGACAGGAAGAGAGTGTGTCATCTTTATTCATATTGAGTGTAATTAATATATATATATTATTATTTTGTAAATTCGTAGTTTAAAAGTACTTAGTTAATAAAAATATAGAGTACATTAAATAGCACAAAAGTTTAACTGATTTGCATGTCGAATATAATACATATAATCAATAACTATGTCATTTAAGAAGTTTAATTGTCAAGCCCATGGCAAGCTATGTCCAAATTTAATAAATTTAAAAATTCAAAATAAAATAAAGATTAACCATAAATGTTACATGCAGAGAATACAGAGTTGTATTTTTTAAATATATTGTAGTTGTCTTTCTAAAGACTTAACAATGAATTAAATAATACATTTAATACATTTGTATTAGTGCTGTTCATATTCGAATTTACGAAGTATTCGAAGAAATTCGAATATTCGAATAGTAAACGAAGTCTTCGAAGTTGAAAAAAACTTCGAAGTTTTTGTGAATTTTTGTTCTCGAAGTCTTCGAAGTTTAAATGTAGTGAAAAACTTCGAAGACTTCGAAGACTTCGTAAGCAAAAGGTGAAGTGAGAGCGCACAATGCAAACAAACGTGCATCACACAAATTATTTGAGGGATGAAAGCGTTTGCTTTGTTTGTACGGTTTTATGTTTTTTGTTGTTATTCTATGCAGAAAATTAATAACATGTTTTTTTGTTTTATTTTATTACGGAAAATTTATTTTATTATTAAATATGTATTAAAATATATATTATTATTAAATATGTTATTATTAAATATTATTTATATTAAATAAAAAATTTACATTTTAAATAACTTATATTTATTATTTATATTTAAAAAATCATATTTGAGAAAATTTTTAATATAATATAAAATATATACGTAATAATATGAAAATATTGATATTGATGGATTTTATTAGTAATGGAATTTTATAAAAATTTTCATTTTCCTTTAAAAAGAAAATCACAAATTAAAACCTTGAAAATTAGTTATGAAAAAATGAGTTTCGCTCATTAATGCCTAATTATTTGACCTGTATGAGCTGTGATGATCACGCAGGTAAGCGCAAATTTATTTTTGCATTATAAAATTTTGAATGTTTTGTTGTAGTTACAGTTATTTTACTGTTTATGGAAAATTTTTAAATCCCTTATTCTAGGAAAAGAAATACATAATATTATAAGGAAGTATCTAAATAAAATGTAAATTAGTGTATAAGCAAAATTGTATAAAAGAAATTCCATCAAATTTTCATGTATTTTATATTATATTAAAAATTTTCATAAATATAATTTTTTAAATAAAAATAATAAATATAAGTTATTTAAAATGTGAATTTTTTATTTAATATAAAAAATATTTAATAATAACATATTTAAAAATAATATATATTATAATACATATTTAATAATAAAATAAATAAATTTTATGTAATAAAATAAAACAAAAAACATGTTTTTAATTTTCTGCATAGAATAACAACAAAAAACATAAAACCGTACAAACAAAGCAAACGCTTTCATCCCTCAAATAATTTGTGTGATGCACGTTTGTTTGCATTGTTCGCTCTCACTTCACCTTTTGCTTACGAAGTCTTCGAAGTCTTCGAAGTTTTTCACTACATTTAAACTTCGAAGACTTCGAGAACAAAAATTCACAAAAACTTCGAAGTTTTTTCCAACTTCGAAGACTTCGTTGAAATGCGAATATTCGAATATTCGAAGAACTTCGAATTTTTAAAAACTTCGAATAATGTGAACAGCACTAATTTGTATATCAGAAATACAACGATTAATTGGCAAGTAAAACTTCTGATATAATTTTTTACATAGGTAGTACTAGTTATTTTTACTCGTCAATAGTTTAAAATTAGTTGCTAACAGCTATTTTGCTATAATAGTTCATTCGCTATAAAAGCAATTTTTTTATGATTTTTGGACAGGTTACGGTTATGTCTCACGAACGGCACATTGCGTTTGCTACGCTCATTAACGAGTAGAATACTAGTATATATTTAGGACGTGTGCGAGTTAGGCTAAGTTGATGCTAAACCAAATGGGAGATTTTTTGGGATTGTTTGCACTGCACACATTTAGCCACTTATCAACACGTATCGATACATCTCTACATTACCGGCACAACTTAGTATTTCCCTCATTTAGAACGCAACTTAGCCTAACTCGCACACGACCTTAATATTGTAAATTACTACAATTAACAAATAATTTACATTGAATTCTTTTAAATGTCAACTGCATATTCTTCCTATAAAGTCTTAGTTCTGGTTTAATTGCATCTTCTATGTATTGTTTGGAGCTCTTCCTCTTTGAAGAATATAGTTTCCAGTTTTTGATTATATCTTTTGTAGTCAGTCATATTTTCAGCTTATAACTTTCTCACTAATTGATATATGTTTACTTGACAACCATAGCTTTGCAGACACCGGGTGGTGCATATCATTATATCTCAACTCCCACTGTCATAGAAAATTTAGCATTGGCGTTGAACGTTCTTATTATTAGGCACAAAGAAATGTTCGGAATATCTATATCCATTAAGAATTTCAAAGACTTATTTGGGTTATGTTATACTATTTTATATATGCCGTTGCCTGTCACAATCATTTGAAATGCAGCCACTTAACTGTTTGAAATTAGAGACATATTCGATGCTTCAGTTTACTAGTAGGAATACTTTACTAGTAATAGTAGTATTTTAGTTTTCTTTTATTTCATTGTAAATTCGTTGTATTACAAAGAAATTTATAGCCAGTATATGTATAAAGCTTACAGCTATGGTGTTTTAGCTGTCTGCCGAAGGATTGGATTAATCTATTAACTACTTATCATTAATATTAATATATGTTATTCCTATTAAATTCAATTACACAATATACATATTAAATGTACTACTAAATGTATTACATCGCCTTTTAATTTAAAGTTGCATATCATGCACAACGTGACTTGACTTTCATACAAAACGTAGCACAAACGTAAGAACCCACTAAGGGTTTTACAGATTTTCCTAATTGTTCTACGTCGCATTGCTCGTGAAAGTAATTATTGACACCCAAATCATAATTTAGTTTACTATACGCATCCCTCGAAAGACTGTTTATTGTTCTTTATACAAAATTCCTGCTCTCTTCAATACTCAGTTTCGTTATTACATTACTTTTGCGACAGTTTCCAGCTATTATCAATACCCAAATCATTAGTCATGTTTCTCCACACCTCAGATTTGCAATGCATAATTTAGGGCCAATTTTACTGTCGCTTCGAAGACTTTGTATTTTACAGGCAGAGACACTTTTGGATTTCCCAGGACATTCTTCCAAGTACAATTAATAGCCAATTTGACTTTTTTAAACTTCTCGATCAAATGGGTATCGAATTACGCATTATATTTCGTATTTATTCCTTGGTATTTATAATTCTTTACAACTTCTAATTGATCATTGTTAACGTATCGTTTTTCGTCATTTTTTAACCGTCTAGCATGTTTCTTAAATAGCATAGCTTTTGATTTGTGGGTGTTTATGAATAGTCCATAAGTTGTAATATTCTTTTAATTTATTTATCATATTTTATAATATTATTGGAGAATCTGCAAACAGCACAATATCATCAGCATATAATAGTACTTTAAGTCACATATTAGCAATCATAATACTACCAGGAAGAAATTTACTTAAGTCATCCACGAACAATGCAAACAGGTCTTAAGATGCAACCATATCTCACCCCGGTAAACATTTGGCACCATCTCGTGGTGCATCTTCAGTCCCATACTGTTGATTGCCTTATAGATTTTACAGTATTTTCATCATTTTCTTTGAAGGACCCAGTTGACTAAGTTTGTAAAAGAATGTACATATTTCTTTGTAGTGTGTCGAAAGCTGCTTTAAGAACTACGCAAAAAGCGTATAATTTAGTGTTTTTAGTTACCAGTATTTGACGACATTAAGACCATCTCAATTTTCTTTAGAGATTCTGGTATTCACGTTCAATTTACACAACAGATTATAATTTTCTTTGTTATATACAACTACAGATATACCAATTATATTTTTAAAAAAAGCAATTACTGCAATGCACTTCACTGAACCATTGACTTATGCTTTTTGCTATCATAGTACATTAGGGATTTAAAATTGTATTTATAATACTGCATGTAGTACTTTAAATCTTAAATAAAGTTTTTAATCAAAACGAATGCATGCATCACTTGTAAATAATTTAAAAAATATGTAAAATGTTGATCATTTAAATGAAAATATGAAACCTGACTAAAAACTCAAGAAGGAAATAAAAGTTAAAAGCTTTAAAAATAAAAATTCTTATACAATTTGGATGGGGAATTATACGTATGTGAATGTCTGCTGTATGAAAGTTGGACCAGAACTAAAAACAAGAAATATCCAAAATCAACATGAAAACACAATATGTTACGCATCCCCAAGGCAGCAATTATGAAAGTTTTCGTTTTTCAGAAATAAAATTTTATTTGTTTTAAATTTTTTAACATATTTCTACTTTTGTAGTAGAAATTGTAGTTTGTAAGAAGGCCAAACGAAATGTGAACCAATTAATAAAAACTAAAAGTTTTGCTCATGTTGGTTTCGTGCGTGCACACATCTTCCACATTCACTTTCGGGTCCCCATGGAAAAATGGAAAATGAAAATCATAGCTGCACATTGAGAAAGCAAAGAAGTGTAAAAAATAATTTTAAAAAAATCCGCCAAAATGACATAAAATCTCATAACCTACGAGGGGAGAAGACCGAGCATTTTAGCAAGTACATGAAACTAATTGATACATTATATACAATTAGACCTATCAGTTATTCCCTCTGACGTTCACAGTTTTAATTTTTTCATTACAGCTAATGCTGGAGGGAAAACATATTCATTCTGAGCCAGTGAAAAATCATTTGTGTAAATATTTTTATGCTTCATTAACACATTTTGAAGACATCAGCTGGTGTCCTGTACATTTGCGTATTCCCAAACAGCGCAGCATTGCAGAATGAATTTTCATATTTCGTCCTTAACTCTGTGAAAACGTTGGGTTCTGCGTTTGCTTCTTGAGCGAGTTTCGCAGGAGCTTCAGTACCAACGTATCGCTTCTATATTTTTCTCTAATTTGAATCGCAATTAAA